AGTTCCTTCGACGAGTCGAGTAATGTGGGAATGTTCCGCCAGGGTGGTGATAGGTTGAGCGAACACGTTCATAGGCATAAAACTGTCTATAGGCGCTGGCTGTGCCTGGTTCGTCACGACCTGAGTGGCGGGCTCAACACTGTCTTGGCCAGCTTGATAAGGGTTGTTGTAGGGGTAAGAACTGTATTCAGGCTGGGAATATCGTCTTTCTGCATCAGAGATGGCATGCTGTGGACTTCTGTCAGTGAAGTTCAACTTGAATTCATGCTCAAACCAGTACCTACCTCTTGGAGCTTAAGAGCGGACGGTTCCTCATCAGATCCGCCCTTCTTGGCCTTGGGGCCCCGCTTGCGGGCTGAATTGAAGAGCTGGTCAGTGTCATTGATCATTGTGACCAGTGGGGAGGATAAACTTACCAGTAGTCGCCCTCTTGACTGAGCCTTGAAGGCCTCGATCTTCTTGTTGAAGAAGGTCCATTGGCGCCCTAGTCGAGGCCTGTTGGAGTCCCAAGGTAAGCTCATGCAAACATGCCTCAGTATTTGTCACATACCCATTTCACCCCTTGAAGAGGGGGGGACCCTAGCGTCGACTTCCTTCAACAGGTTGCTCAGAGACAAGTCTTATGCAAGTAGCGTGCCTTGCCAAGGCCTGTAACGGTGTCCGAGTTAGCTCTTATGAACATGCCTCTCGGCGTTCACGACGTACCGCTGTCACCTCATTACGAGGGAAGGATGTTCAATTCACCCATAAATGGGGACGATGCCTGCCCTGAGAGAGGGCGGCAAGGTGATGCGGAACGTAAACTTTAGCACCAACTGCGGCATCGGACGAAGCCCAGGGTGTTGTCGTTCGGCTGTTGTTGGTGTTTCACCCCTAGAGCGGGGGGGCAGAGATCACCCTTGGTGTGGGGGAGCAGCATACCTCTGGGTTGGGGGACCAGGAGCGGGGAGGTAGAGAGTTGGTGAATCATGGCGACGCGTTGAATCGAGAACACGAAGCGTGTTGTGTCTCGCAAATTTAGGGGAAAGTACAGCAGGTGAATAGGAGAATGGAAGGGGAGGAAGGGAGGAGGGAGATCCGCCTGAGAGGCGGTCTCTGTCACCCTCAAGTGTGGGCTACACTTTAGAGGTGACACTCAACACCACGCCGGTTTGGAAGCGGGCATGAGCTGTGATAGTCTTCGAGGGCTGTCAACAGGAGTGACGCTGACTTGCTCGGATTCAAAGGAACCAGGATTCTGAAGAGTTGAGGAATACAGAAGAGAGCATTTGACGTTGGAGAGTGAGGTTCGAGATCCGCCTGAGAAGCGGTCTCTGTCACCTTTCGACGCAAGTCACACTCCATAACTGACACTCAGCTTCCCCCCGTTTGAAGGGGGGCAGGGGAGCACCCAATGCTGAAGAGTCGAGGACCGGATCCGCCTCAGAGACGGTCCGTATCGCCCTCCAACATGGGTCTCACCCCGCAGCTGACACTCAGCAATATCACCGAATTCCGAAGACCCGGGAAGGCACCATCTATCGAATGTCAGTGTCAAGTGTCACGAAGATGTTTGGGCGGCGTCACTCACGCGTCGAGCCTCTGCTGGGTCCGGTGCGCNNAATTCTCACGCCAGGTCGTGCTGCATGAGGTGTCAGCGTTGATACTTTTGTTCCAAAGTGTCATACTGACTTGTGAGTGAGTGCCGGCCAAGGCACTGGTGGACCTGAGCGAGTCGCGCCCTTTTGCTCACAGGATGCACACTCACTTGTGAGCGATGGACAGCCAAGGCACTGATGAACCTGAGCGAGTCGCTCAGTCTTACTCAGGAGCCATACTCACTTGTGACAGTGAGCGTTGGCCGGCCATAGCTGCGGTGGACCTATGCGAGCGGTGCCCATGGTAGGCAAGGGACTGGGCGATGAAAAGTCAGCTCAACTCCGGATGTAGACCAAGAGCAGTGGGATATTCTTGGAGAAAACATACCTTTTTGATTGATAGTTAAAGCTCATGACATCTCAACGAGACATATCAAGC